TATGACCTTTGCTATCTTTGTGTTCTGGACATAATGGAGAATTCAGAACCTTCACGGAATGCATCAACAACGATAAGGAAGCTTTGCTTGTTGATTAATCCTGGAAAGTTTATGTGGACGCGAAACCATGGTTTTTCTGGCTGTCAACAAGGCCGTGTAGGGTAGGCTGGGGTAGGCTGCCGGGTAGGGCAGATCTGCATCGAAGTAGCTTTAACATGCCTGCTGCATATTCTTATCCATACCAGGCTTCGAGAGCCTTATCCCTGGATGTCTGTTTTGGAACTGCGCAAGGACCTGGTGGCGAATTTAGGCAGGCTTTAACAATTCGGTCACCAAACAGAAGCCATTGACAACAAATATGAATTCAGCTGCTGAAAAAATTGTCGGAGTTATACTGATGGACAGTCAAACTTGGTCGGTGATACTAACATGCCTCCTTTAGTGCGTTGTCATTTCTGGTGGCATCGCAGACAGTGTCAACACTTATGGATAGTTGGTATGCGGTCTCCGAGACCACATCCCGGCCTTCTGGTTTCTAGGCCCCGGCTACTATGACGGTATCTTCTGGACCGATCTTCCTGAAATCAATCAAGCTCAAAGGCGCACCGCCCCACCCAATTTTCTTGTATGAGGTATACATTATGATAATGTTGTAGGCAGATAGGTTTGTGCCTCACCGTAGTAGGTGGTTGCCTCTATAAATCAGGATAGCTTTCTTGGAAATAATACATCCAACAGTGGTTTCTGATCCACCACAAGCATGAATGGCCCCTTCTTTAATCCGGCCGTAATTTCATCAATCTGGAGGCAGAGACCTTGCGCTGAGGGCTATCGACTTTTGCGTACCCTTAGAAAATTCTAAAGTAACACTACTGCAACTCCACGGTTCGACGCATTGGTCATGGGATAACATATCATTTGGGGTTGAAGCATAACGTTATCAACGTCACTTGGCCATAATTCAGCTGAAGGGTTCACGTGATAGTTGTCAAGACAGCACTGTAGTGGCTAATTACCCCCAAACGACTTGACTTCAACAACACTTGATATTGGACACGTTCTCAAAATTGCATCAATATTTGACGGGCCTGGTCAACGACCGTTTTTGTCGACAATGAGACAAGAAACTCTACAAGAGGCGGATTTTTTTCTTTTTTTCTTAACGCTGATGCATGGCACCTAGCCGGTACAGAAGGTCTTCATTACTGTTCCCCCGGCCATAGCGTTTTCAGTGTATGTGGAAATGCTTGCCACTTTATTTTTCGGAAATCGTTCAATATTGTCTCGTTTTTCTATCACTTTGCAAATGTTACGGGATGCCGCATATGAGAAATAGACCCACTCAACCCTGCACTGACGATGTCACCTCGATTGGCGATGAAACGTTTGCAATCCAACTGCCAAGCTCGGCGAACAGACCAACAATCAGAGGAATAGACACTTGAACCGACCTTCCGTCATATTAGATGAGCTGGGATGTTCGTATTCAAGTCTGATTCCACCGACATCAGTGAGGGAGTCTTCAGACTCCATTTTCACTGGTTTCACCCACTGATAGTGAATACTAACCAAGAATTAATGCTCACCAGAAATTGCTGAGAGCTGCTGCTCGGTTTTGTCGAGGCTGTCAGCCTGTGTTATTTGGCCGGATGAATTGCTTCACCTAAGGACAAATCAATCATCTGGTTTTGCTCCACGCAGAGATCGTGGTGCGCTAATCCCAGGGCGAGTTTGCGGTTGTGGTTGAAATGTTCAACTTACAGTCCTTGAAGCAGGACAGCCTGGCCATAGAGAGCGCCTAGGCACGAACATAGTAGCAGTCATTCTGATACCTTTTTTGTGAGTTTGCTAAATGCTAACTGGACAGTTAATCTTAAACTACTTTAGCCGCCTGAGTGCTAACAGGTCCAGTGTCTGCTTACAACAGACTGGCGAGGGGTGGATCAAAACTGACTGTGATTATTCTTCTCTGAACCACCTTTATTCTTAGACTCGTCTTAAGGGCGAAAACACTTACACCTGATGCAATATAACGAATAAATTTTCGGTTCAGTATGTGCAAGGGGGAGTCACTTGTTATGATGCTATGCTGTTATGGTCTGTTGGCACATAAGCGATTAGGCATAATATCAATTAAATTGAATTTCAATACCGAACGAGCCTCACTAGGTAGGCCTCATCCTATCACATCAACTGTCAAGAGCGCGTCATCTGCAATCAGATGCACGCTTGCTCCCGTAGGGTGCTCATGTGGGTAACCCCTGCAATAGGATTTATTAGGGTGTACACTCGAGCAATTTCATACGCATGGTAAACAACAAATGGTTCTCTGATGCCAACCAGAACACCTCAGAAACCATGTGGGTAACCCCTGCAATAGAATTTATTAGGGTGTACACTCGAACAATTTCATACGCATGATAAACAACAAATGGCTCTCTGATGCCAACCAGAACACCTCAGAAAACAACACAGAGAGTCCACAGTGGGCTCACTCTGACAGAGTTTAGGATGTAAGTGTTCCTAAAATCTATCTCCACCGACGCCGATTTCGTCGTGCTACGGGACATATGGGTTTGGCTCCGACTGGTTCGCCCATTCTTCTGCTAAAAGAGCATGTTAAGTTGATGTTAGTTTTATCTTGACGCACAACTAATACAAATATTTACAGTGATTGACATTAGTGGATTAAACCCGGGCTAAACAGAGTTAAATCACTAACATACAATGAGAAATGACATTTTTAAGTGGAGGTGATCGTTTCGGGGCCCAGTGAAAACCGATAATGAGCTTGTATTTTGGTCTGCTGACTCAAGTCAGGAAACACATTGTTCTGGAATCTCCGGGGTTTTAATTCAGTTATAGAGTGTTGTTCAAGCAGGTGATGAAATAGAGCAGCTTGAGCCCAAGGAACTCTGTGAATCATATGGAACTTTCAGGAGAATGATTTGCTACACCTCACACGGACTGTTTTGTTTCAGAAACATTCCTATGTTTGTGAGATGTCTTCATGTAGTCAAAATGATCAAGCTGAAATCACGTGTTCCTTGGAAGTTGCACCGTTAAAATTGAGAAACTTGTAGCAATGATATGAAAGAAGTGCGTTGAAGAGATCGGAGCCTGTGCTGAGTAGATTTGTTATAGTGGAAACCTAAGAAGCTTAAAAGCCAGCAAGAATTTTGAGCGCAAATTAACCAAGTCGGGTGTTTCCACACTTTGTGTGACTTAGTGTTTTACTTTTTCACATTCCACGGTTGTCCAATAACCCACATCATACTAAGTTTTATCACCAACCTGATAATTGCGCTTTATGAACACGAGTACAACCCTCCACCCTAAAATAGTTATGGTTTCGTTTCGATCTTGCACGTACACCATTTAATAAAATGTAAACAGTGGGACTGTCCTTCGATATAAGTTGGATCTTGTGGAGAGGACTGAATCAGTTCTGATAGTGCTCGAGTGCGCTTACTGAATATTGATCATTTGGTTGCTAATGCGTACATACCGCTTGATAACTGGCTTGGAAACCTTTATTTTTACCAAACCAAGAAACGTCATCCCTGCACGATTACCAAAGTAATCCATTTCACGGTCCACTAGAATATCATATTTTGAAAAAATTGGCCTACCGAACAACGTACCATAGTACCATCACTGGTAAATTCATCTTTTACATTTGAAGTTTTTATGCCTCGATCTAAACAGTTCTCCACTGAGATGAGTTTCCAGGCTTGCTGCTTTGAATTCGCAACTAATAATCACTCTGTTTTGCGCTCGGTAGCTAAATTTATGGCGTGAGACATAGTCTAAGAATTGTTTTTAGATTTTGATATCCTTCTATGAACTTAAAATGCCATCTATAAGATACCGTTAACGGAGTCCAGATTCTTCCTTCAAATCTCGATATTACTTGAGGAAACACCGTAAGTCTGACTCTTTAACATCCCAGGAGTTAGGTAATTAGAGTGTTTTGTTATACTTCATCTCTGTTATACATTGAAATGACACGTACTTTGCGTGTAACCTGGCAACCGATAAAAATAAAATTAAACAAATGAGAATCTAAATTATTGATATAATAGGTCATGCACAATCGTTAGTATTCTCCACGTCACTAATGTAAAAAATTGTTACAAATTCTCATTTCCATTCTTTACGGATAAATGAATGCAAATTTTCCAAGATAATCGTGGTTCTTACCGCAAACTTTGGCAAAGCAGATCATGCTTTATAGCTGATTCTGCCATTTAGACCCAATTGGATCTAACCATCTACTTTTTCACCCTGGAAATTGTTTGCCCATAATCTAGTGACTTCTAGTGCTGTTAATTTGAGTAGAGTACAGTTTTGCAGAGGCGTGCCGGAGCGGGGTGAATAAGTTTTGTTCTCGATATCCTCTTCATATCCTGAACTTTGTAACTTATACAGTTCTAGCTGTGCCTAAAATCATCTGTTGCCAAAAGCTACTATGTATGAGCAGCGATTGAAACCTTGTCTATCAGCTGGATACACATAAACTGGGTACCAGAGAGTTAAACAGACTTCGTTGGAGCAAGTTTAACCCTTTGAGATAACATGCTTTGAAGTAGACCCGGATCTTCATTATTCAGACTGTACCGTCACCCCATAACACAAAGCACTGACAAAGCTCCTGCGCTTGTCCGCCTCTGCTAAGCAGCCGAAATTCTCGTCCAATCGAGAACTGGTATTATTGTCCAACTGCAATAAAACAAGGAGAAAGGTTAGATGGCTCTAAGATGATCAGTCTCAGTGTTTTTTCCAGGCCTTTAATAAGTGGTTTGTTCTGGGCAACGCCGTCGGCCTATCTTCTCGGAACAAACCAGCACGCTGGCCTCAGAATAGAAACAAAACCTGACTTCAACGAATTAGAATAAAAAATCTGTAGAGAGCAACTCACGAGAACTTACATGTTTGCCTACATTTTATGGTAATCTGGGGTGAAATGACCTTTCCACTACGAGCAGTCCTTGATGGAGTGTTTTACGTTGATTCTAAGGCAAACAAATGGGTTTGGTTGCGTTCGAAATTATTCAAGTCGTTGAATTTGATTGTCGACCAGAATGCTGCTGTAGACAGTCACTCAACATTGTGATTACGATCCACGAAATACAGAGTGTGGCAAATGTTCCGCCTTTTATCACACTGTCGTTTTTATGTTGGTTGTGCCAAAACAAAATGCATGCTATACATAATGTGTGGATGAAGTTATCATGGTGCACGCAAAACTCTGTTGTTATGTATGACTTCCTCGTGATTAGCTTCAATTTCCTGGTATTCTGTATTGAAGCTCGTGGGTATGGAGTGTACTCTTTATCGCCAGTGCTAACTGGTATAACGAACAAGTGACATGTTTGGAACAGGGTGTGTTTGTGTCATCGTCAACAGAGGTTCACGCGACTGGTATCTGAGGCTTCGGAGCTGACTTCCATGGAGGAAATTGTGAATACGGTGTGCGTGAAGAGCTCACGTTAAGCTCGACTATCTGCAACATTAAAATCTTAGCGAATGTTAGGTCTCAGATAATGGACGTAGATATTAGTACAGAAAAGGAGGTAGGCATTGCTTCCAATTATTACTGGAATAAATCGTGATCAATTATCATTTATCGGAGTCTGAGAAAGAACACTACAGACGCCGCGGTGACTAAAACCTACTACCTAAAGTCAAACGATACTAAATTTGGTGTACTTTCACTCTGTTTCAAGATTTTCTCTCTGTATTTCTTCGTGCGTTACGATAGCAGCTGTCAAATTGAAAATTCGCATTGACATTCTAAGGCAGCAGTTGAAGCTTTCAGAATACGAATAATTATTGCACATATGCAGCAATATATTCTGCACCTCTGACGATGACAACTCCCGGGACTGTCCACAGTGACTGCGTGACTATATTATCACATTTTGGTTGAGGTGGAAGGACTTTCACAACTTAGTGTGTGAATATGGTACAAAACGTTTAGTTGATCTACACCACCTGGGTAGGAAAGGAGACTGCTCAAAGCATCCTAAATGAGTGAGTGAGTCAAATATTTAGTTGCAATAAAAAGGCTGGTCAAAACGTTTGAACTAAGTAATCTATCTGAAAACTGTTCGTTCGACATGTGTCCTGTTATTTTTCGAGAGAGACATATATAAGGGTGATAAAAATCATCAATTATTTCTGAGTGAATAGCCATTACTTAGTGACATAGGGCCCGTCATTTATGTATAGAAATCATTCGGCCGACAATCGTTCCACGTGTCTCACCAAATATTAGGCGTTTAAGTCAATCACGCTTCTTGAAAAACGAGCTTCTATCGGTTTTGATGGGATAGCCAATAGGATGTATGATAAAGCAGTATCTCCCACATAACGCGATGCCCGTAAATGGATTATTTAATAGCGCAACCACTTGCGATACCAGTTTTTCAAGAGAACCCAACTGGTGAGCGGCACAAAGAAGCTCTGAATTTTCCACCAGCCTATGCCAAAAGACAAAGGAGCTTTAGGCAAACACGTTTCTTTCTCATTATGAGTTACCAGGAATGTGTATCTCAGTAAATTCCAGGGACAGTAGAATGCATGACTTACGGGTTGGTAGCTTAAAACCATATTGATGTGCCACGGAGGGCCAAGTCAGGTCAATGAAACGGAGCACAAAACAATTTCGACGAAAGAACTAGAACAACATAAATAATGGAAATACTCAATTCTGTCAAATAATGGGGAACCAAAAATTATCTTAGTCATTGATATGCCAACCACATGCAGTGGGGCTATGAAGTGAGTTTCCTGAAGCAACAATTATTAAATTTGAACCATGAAAGAAGGTTTATTTATGAACCGAAAACCCTGGCCGCTAGAAAAGTATTATAACAGGGCTCCATCACAACATGCAACATTCGTCTGTGAGATGGTCTTAATCGGTCAAGCGTAACAAAAAATAACTTTATCTTGAAAAATGATATACATGTTCCTTTTATCAGTTCAAGTGAAAGGAGGCCTTCCCTCATTCTCGTACTCTTAATCTCTCTGGCTGTCTAATGTTTGTCAGGGGTGCATGAAATGAGTGTTAACAGCAAAGGAGAACAGATATCCTATTCATGGAGTTCTTTTTATCCACCAAAGGTAGTAAAAGAATGAATTTTATATAGCCTTTGTTGATTTTTGACATTTAATGATTGGTTTGCACATGCTGCAGATTCAGACATTTGTCCAGCTAAATAATGCTATTAGCATGATGATCATATAATAAACAATTATGGTTGATGTTAACATCAAACAGAAGATTTTTGTGGGTAGCTTCAGATTTATCAACCTTTAAAATGAACCTGTTTTTCACCGTTAGAGAACCATTGAAAACTACATTTGGTACATTAATGTAATGTCTTCCAACTGAATAGTTAACTGAGACTTACCACCTCATAGTAATGGATTTATTATCATCCCATGCGATACTGCATACAGAGATGCTTGACCAGGCTAACTAAGTCTTCTAGATAAACCTATCAAAAAGCCCCGTCGACTGCCTGTCGCATGCTAATGAGAGTGTGACCACTCGAGCTATTCATTGATCGACGCCTAACATTGATCGGTTTTCGCTGGCAACTGTGTGTCATTGCCTTTTAGTTTAAATTTATGCTCAGTGTTGAACGTTTGTTAGGTAGCCTTATGGGAGTTGAAAGAGATTGTATTAGAAATCACCACTACTCAATTAAATAGTCGGTGACCTTAAAACACTGGTGTTGCCTAGCTTTAATGAGATAAAAATCATTGGAACGAGCCTAATAGTAAGAGCCATTTAAACATCACAAATATCTCAACATCCCATTCATTACCTAAGCCCAGTCCAACTTGCATCCGGGAATTTCATTGCCACACATCAGTCACGAAGTTACAGTCATCTGGATAAAAAGAATTAATTTTCGAACCAAGATCAACTATGTCCACTAGGAGCTGATTATTCTTTCAGGCCAATCATGCCAGTGATAAAACGTACAGCAATAAACATACAGTAATGAGCATACGATTTTCTGCTAACAAAGCGCATAGAAGTGTTAGGATGAAAAAAATGTTTATGACTATATGTGATGTGTCACATTTGAAAATAAGAAAATAATGGTCTCTGTGTTCAAGGGGGCAGTTGTCGAAATAGGTTCACCTGTTAACAATTTTAAATTGACCACTATTACTTCTGGACAAAAGTGTTTACCTTTCAGCAACCTTGGTTGTTTTTGAGACGGAAGCATTTCTGTCATCATGTATCTAGATATGTAATCAGAGAGTGAAGGGAGACCTTGATTCCAAGTGCCTTTAAAATCTATTGGAGAACTTCGAAATTTAGGATTCTGAGTCGTGTTAACTGTGTTCCGCATTCATTTCAACTACAACTGTTAGGATGCACTGTGACACTCCAACCTAATTCGATTTTTGATTCCTACATTGAAAAGCAAACCACGTGAATGGTTTTGAAGCGTTTCCTAGGAAAAAATGAAGTGCTCCTCAGGATCACAGAAAAAGAAACATGATTGTACAAGCTCGTTATTTGTCTGCAATTCCTCGATGCGCATGAAATTGAACACAAGTTAGGGACTTCTGCCTGTCTGCCAGTTTAAGGAGAACAATATAGGAGAGCGCGATCACTCTTGATCAGGCCGTGGTAACGGAAAATATGTACTCACAACAGAAATAAATTAAGTCCTTACAGGTAAACACTGCTCAACTTGCTGAGCGAAACGCAGATAGTCAAAATCATCGTAATTCACCTCGCCTTATTAATGACAATACAATTGCAGTTTTAAATATGACCTTCCGGTCAGCAGTGACATTCGTTCAGGTACTGAACGGTTTATGGGAATTATGAGATAACCACGCTTAATCTTGTTCCGATGACAAAGTGACCTCACGGTCAAGTGACTTCTGGGATTATCACCTGAAGAATTTGACGTAAACCTTACTTGAGTTCATCAGCCAGTTTTCAAGACACAAGGGCATCATCGAATAGATTTAGCCACCTCATGAACAGAGCATTATGTATAAGCTTGATATTAAATAGTGGCCACAAGTATATATCGAATGATCGACTATTTCTCGTGTCATCAATCACCCTTAGAATTTCGGAAATTATTGCGTGCAATTCGACCGAAACCAGGTTCTGTGGATTCCCATTTAAATTTCTGAACTAGGCTTTAGCAAATAGTAGAAATGCATTGTCTAAAAGAACAAGCGTACGTGTTACTGTTTCTTTGTGGAGATTTATTTACCGGCACATTATAACAACAGCGATGGGTAACAATCATTGTTCTTGTAGCATTTTACAACTGCAAGCACCATTACCTGATTATTAGCCCAATCAATAGTTGTCTAAACCAATCCACACAGTTCTGGGGACAAACTATTCAAAACAATCAAAGGCTGCTTCCACTACTGGGCAAAACTACTGGCTTGTGATTCAATAGCTTACGGAAAAAGACAGCTGGTTTATGAGGAATTATGAAGGATTGCTTAGATACTGAACTAACCTATCAGTAGTACCATAGTAGTACTTTAAATTTCCCGTTGCTTCATAGAGATGGTGATAGTCACGAATGGAATGCAGCTCAAAGTCAGGGAGGTTTATACTACCCAGTGCGTTGCTTAAAATGTCTTCTTGGCAAGATGAGACAACATACTTTGATGAAAACAAAAACTACGACAAACGTTTTGAACACCTGAATGAAAGACAACGATCACCTGACATTTTTGGCTCTGGCACTGGGATCAGTTCTTTGCAGTTGAAGACAGCAAACTTCAGAGGCAATATCTATATCCAAATGTCGCTTTCTGGGTAGACGCTTATGTCTACCTTGAAAAGTGCGCAGGCACAGGTCTGTATACATCAACAGTTATTCTGAAGTAACACCAAAGTAAGCGCATCCGTTACAACGATCCAATCCTAATGATTCGCCATTTTTTGTTACATGTCAGGCAAGACCCAAGTTTCTTCAGTGGCTATGTGCAGGGGTTCCGTTCGAATGACTTAAAAATAACTCGTGTGATGTTAGGTGACTTCATATTTTAAAACGTCTCAATCAACTTTCCCGACTGTCGAATATAGCAGGAAGAGCCACACAATCATTCTAGCGTAAGACTGAGAAAAATTTCACGGTCGAGTGCGAATCTAGGAAACATTTGTTGATGTGTTAACTGATGGACTACTGTTTACAGGAAATTCCAAGTGTAAAATGACCGCTCGATGATATGTGGTAGATGTTAACTTTGGTCCACACGATGGTTTGTTGAATGTATCTACCCAAACGTTAGGTTG